AACTAGACTGCTCTACCAAGCTGACATGCTACAATATAACTAGACTACTCAATACCGTTGACATGCTACAATATAACTTGACTACTCAATACCAAGCTGACATGCTACAATATAACTGGACTAATTAATACCAAGCTGACATGCTACAATATAACTGGACTACTCAATACCAAGCTGACATACAATATAACTAGATCCGTGGCCTTGCCCTTGTAGTGACATGTATGTTTGAATACAGTTATTGGCCTTGCCCTGGGTAGTGGCGATGTATGTTTGAATACAGTTGTGGCCTTGCCCTGGTAGTGACGCGTGTATGTTTGAATACAGTTGTGGCCTTGCCCCTTGTAGTGACATGTATGTTTGAATACTGTTGTCACCTTGCCCCCTTGTAGTGACGTGTATGTTTGAATACAGTTGTGGCCTTGCCCTGTAGTGACATGTATGTTTGAATACAGTTGTGGCCTTGCCCTTGTAGTGACATGTATGTTTGAATACAGTTGTCACCTTGCCCTTGTAGTGACGTGTATGTTTCAATACATTTGTGGCCTTGCCCTTGTAGTGACGTGTATGTTTGAATACTGTTGTCACCTTGCCCCCTTGTAGTGACGTGTATGTTTGAATACAGTTGTGGCCTTGCCCTTGTAGTGACATGTATGTTTCAATACAGTTGTGGCCTTGCCCTTGTAGTGACATGTATGTTTGAATACAGTTGTGGCCTCACCTTGTAGTGACATGTATGTTTGAATACAGTTGTGGCCTTGCCCTGGTAGTGGCGCGTATGTTTGAATACAGTTGTGGCCTTGCCCTTTGTAGTGACATGTATGTTTGAATACAGTTGTGGCCTTGCCCTGGTAGTGACATGTATGTTTAAATACACAGTTGTCACCTTGCCCTTGTAGTGACGCGTGTATGTTTCAATACATTTGTGGCCTTGCCCTGGTAGTGACGATGTATGTTTGAATACAGTTGTCACCTTGCCCCTTGTAGTGACGGTATGTTTGAATACAGTTGTGGCCTTGCCCCCTTGTAGTGACATGTATGTTTGAATACAGTTGTCACCTTGCCCTGGTAGTCACATGTATGTTTGAATACAGTTGTGGCCTTGCCATTGTAGTGACATGTATGTTTGAATACAGTTGTGGCCTTGCCCTTGTAGTGACATGTATGTTTGAATACAGTTGTGGCCTTGCCCTTGTAGTGACATGTATGTTTGAATACAGTTGTGGCCTTGCCCTTGTAGTGACATGTATGTTTGAATACAGTTGTCACCTTGCCCTGGTAGTGACATGTATGTTTGAATACAGTTGTGGCCTTGCCCTGGTAGTGACGTGTATGTTTGAATACAGTTGTGGCCTTGCCCTTGTAGTGACATGTATGTTTGAATACAGTTGTGGCCTTGCCCTTGTAGTGACATGTATGTTTGAATACAGTTGTCACCTTGCCCTGGTAGTGACATGTATGTTTGAATACAGTTGTGGCCTTGCCATTGTAGTGACATGTATGTTTCGATGGGGAACATTCCTGGATTTGCACCCCCTTGCCCACTTGGAGCGCTGCGGTAGTTACGGTCAAACAGTAGCTGTCACTCTGATACTGGCATATAGGCGTGCCTATCGGCCAAGCCAAAACTTAAATCGACATTAAACCTACTTTTACTATGTGGTTGTTATATTACGAATTACGGAAGCTGGAAGTTGCCCCGGCCGAAGACTGTTGTCAAAGCACGGAGAACTAGCGTGTCTGGACGAAAACTAATGCTAATAGAACGGTACTGCAGTTATTGTAATATTGCCGTTTCTCGGAATTTCTTATTGATGGTGTCAAATGGTGTCAAACCATTTACTCCCCATTATGTCGCATTACACAGAGCATTAATGGCGTCGTAATAGTTCTTAGAACATAGGATTAGTGTACACTGAAATTAGCGTTAGACAAATAACGTTAGCACTGACCTGATTACGCGCACAACATAGGTGCTTCAGTTTTCGTTCACGTAAACAACCTATTCTCATAGCCTATGACGCTTTGGGATGCAATGGAAAGAGGAAATGCTATGGCAACGGATCGTTTTCGAGAGGATTTGAAACATAAATAATTTTTATCGAATTAACGGCTCGTTGACAGTGTGTTGAACAAAATATATTACACCCATTCACACGATAAATAAGCACACAACTTCCGGTTTATAGTTTTTTACATACATATTTAAGTACCGTTCAAAATTAATGGGGTGGGGGTTGGTGATGATTTTTATGGAGAAGCATGTACAAGGTGAATGACCTCCCTACAATTCATGTACTAAGTAAGTGACACCCCCTTTGCATATGTCATATTCCAAATCAATTAAACCCACCCCACCCCATAATTTTAAGCATAATCTTTCTTATGTACAAATTTTACTTACCCTCCTAGTACATGTGTACAAAATTGATGACCTCCACCTTTCCAGAACAAAATAGGTGATCCCCTTAAATTCATCATCACCTCACACTCCACATCCCCTAATATATTATGAACCCTTAGGCCATTATTCAATCCCAAAATGTAATGGTAGCATATTGCTTGCACTATATATTTCTATGTATCATTTGGGACCCCATCCCAATCTGTACCATATTTAAAGGCTGTCTCTTCTCAACACAAATAACCAGTATCTAAATGACAGATCACACTTTGAAAACAAAAGAATATTATTTGAAATTGTGTTTCAGGTGTTGTGAAATAATGTAACTAAGCCTGAGTGAAATACTGAAACATTATAAACACATTGAACCATTACTGGAGGTCTGAACTATCTGATGACAGAAGCAATGGGGTATCGGGTACCTTGTCTTTTTAAGGTGGGAGCCTTTTAGATTTGAATACAAATATTTCACATTTGTTATTCCAGCCTGTGTGAAGGGTTTGCAAATTACATCAAGGCTCATCACAATTATAATTGACTCACAGTGTCAGTGAACACAGTTTGTATTTGAAATACTGAAACAAGGAATAATTTAGCTTTTGAATGGTAGTCTAAATGGTACAATCGAGATTCTACAATACTTACGACATCCCTCATGTGTCAATTATCATCAGACCAAAATCAAGTCAAAGGTTGTCATTTCAGTTTTATTGTTCAACATATTATATTGTGCATGTATGGACATTCATAAATATAGACATACATACAGTAAAAAATGATGGTCTCCTTTGAAGAACCATGATTAACACTTACATCAGATGCATGTTGATGTCTTCCACACTGACAATCATACTGTCAATATTGCTGTACAGATAATTTAGGTGACATGCATAGGCACCAAAAATGGAAGCACAACATTGAAGTCTGAATATTTTGACAGTCCTGTGTAAATGAAAATTCCTGCAGCACTAAGCATAGTAGTTAGTACCGGAAGCACTGCATGTTTGTCTGTGTGTTGATATACAGTAACTTTCATATTTGGCCTGTGACCAGTCTGGAGAGAAAATGTTTGGCTCAATATTCTTGCCATCAAAATCATCATGGGTGACTGTTTCCTCCCCAGCGACCTCACTGATGTTACATTCAACATCACAAGTATCCACCAGCATTAAGTGGGTCAGCTGATACAGTCCAGGGAAAGAATTGGTCATACCAGATCTGTTTTTCTCTGTTGCATCAGACGTGTTCATCCTGGAAAACATCAGTGGAGTATTACTATCAAAACTGATACAGGGTAATATTATCTCATGACTGCTAGTTATGAGAAAATGTATCATTATCAGATTTAAGTTACTATTGTGGAGAAAGACATGTCACACAATGAACATATTCATTCCGATAGGTCAAAGGTGGAAAACATTATTCTTAACAAATGTTTCGATATGGAGAAGCATAATTTAAATATGCTGACATGTTTTCCTTCTCTGAGTGGCATTTAGAAGTTGGTGTGATGAACAAAAGGAGAGTTCTATGGATACTTGCTAATATAATATGAGCTGACATTGTGGTGTAGCTACTAACACCCTTATCAAGTAAGTAACTCTCCTCATGAATTTTTTTTCTATATGGAGATATGTCTGATACAAAGAAGTGTGTTCAACAAGTACACCAGACATTATTCAGACAAATTCATACCAAAAGTAAACAAACAGTGTGAAACTGACAACTGTATTTAAGATGCATGACCAGGTGCTGTATGGGAGAAGACAAGCAGGTAAAATCAACAGGCCATATCAAGTGATGAATGCTTTGCTAATATATAATTGAAATATAGTTGAAAGTAAATTCAATATATTAACCTGAAGTTAAAGCGAAAAGATTGTGTACTGTAAGTTTTGATGATTACTACAGTGAGAGGCCCCTAATGTTTCGCGTGAAAAGTTTTGTACAGCATGTGTCCCTCTTGAAGCAACACATTCTTTTTCCCTGAATCGATTCAAAACCCCTGCTCGTAATTTTGGTTGGCATGCACTTTAACTAAATTTGGCAAGGAGAATAACAATAACGTTTTCTTCAAACTGTAAAAGATACAAAATACGTGGTACTTACCATAATTAGATACAGTAACAAAATCGCTCTGTCAGAAGTGGACAACACTGAGAATGAGACCAGCGAGAGATACCTCGCCATGCTTTTGTTTCATTCGTTGCTACTTCGAATGATAGTCAACCACCATTTCAGCAAGTTTTGACCTCTCGGACACGTCGAACCTCTATTGCAGCATCTCGAGGCAAGGCAGCACATCTCAGGCATTGTAATATTGCTACTCATTTGAAATCGACCGTGCAACAAACTTTGAACGCCATCATTATGCCGGAAGTACACTTAGGACCGTAGTGATTGGCGCCATCTATTGGCGAAGCAGTAAAGGGAGATAACTGAGGAATGTTCCCCATACAGTTGTCACCTTGTCTTGGAGGCAATCATATGTAAAGATGTTGCCATACCATGAGATGTATGTTTTAGTAAGATTTTCACCATGACCAAATGTTTGTCTGATGTATTTTCATTTGTTGTTACTTTATTCTGTTTACAGAGATTCTGATGTCCCTTTTGAAAGAAGTGAAAGGCATGACCTTCCGACTTCTGCTTAAGGTTGGAGCATTTGACAATGTGGAACATGATTAAGGAATCCTTTCTGACTAGAACACATAACTTTCTCCATTGGTCCATTCATGTGGCGTAATAAGTTTTGAGGGGAAAGGTTGTTCTGTTCACCTAGCCTGAGGATCTGATGTTTGGTCTTTGTTTCAGTTTTCATGGACTGCTTAATACCAAACTGACATGCTACGTTATAACTGGACTGCTCAATACCAAACTGACATGCTACGTTATAACTGGACTGCTCAATACCAAACTGACATGCTACGTTATAACTGGACTGCTCAATACCAAGCTGACATGCTACAATATAACTGGACTACTCAATACCAAACTGACATGCTACAATATAACTGGACTGCTCAATATCAAACTGACATGCTACAATATAACTGGACAGCTCAATACCAAGCTGACATGCTACGATATAACTGGACTGCTCAATACCAAGCTGACATGCTACAATATAACTGATCTGCTCAATACCAAGCTGACATGCTAGAATATAACTAGACTGCTCAGTACCAAGCTGACATGCTACGATATAACTAGATTGCTCAATACCAAGCTGACATGCTACAATATGACTGGACTGCTCAATACCAAGCTGACATGCTACAATATAACTGGACTGCTCAATACCAAACTGACATGCTATGATATAACTGGACTGCTCAATACCAAACTGACATGCTACAATATAACTGATCTGCTCAATACCAAGCTGACATGCTACGTTATAACTGACTGCTCAATACCAAACTGACATGCTACGAATATAACTGGACTGCTCAATACCAAGCTGACATGCTATGATATAACTGATCTGCTCAATACCAAGCTGACATGCTACAATATAACTGGACTGCTCAATACCAAACTCACATGCTACGTTATAACTGGACTGCTCAATACCAAACTGACGTGCTACGTTATAACTGGACTACTCAATACCAAGCTGACATGCTACGATATAACTGGACTGCTCAATACCAAGCTGACATGCTACAATATAACTGGACTGCTCAATACCAAACTCACATGCTACAATATAACTGGACTGCTCAATACCAAGCTGACATGCTACAATATAACTGGACTGCTCAATACCAAAGCTGACATGCTACAATATAACTGGACTGCTCAATACCAAGCTGACATGCTACAATATAACTAGACTGCTCAATACCAAGCTGACATGCTACAATATAACTGGACTGCTCAATACCAAGCTGACATGCTACACGCATATAACTGGACTGCTCAATACCAAGCTGACATGCTACAATATAACTGGACTACTCAATACCAAGCTGACATGCTACAATATAACTGGACTGCTCAATACCAAGCTGACATGCTACGATATAACTGGACTGCTCAATACCAAGCTGACATGCTACAATATAACTGGACTGCTCAATACCAAGCTGACTGCTACGATATAACTGGACTGCTCAATACCAAAGCTGCTACAATATAACTGGACTATACCACTGACATGCTACTAGACTCAATACCAAGCTGACATGCTACAATATAAAGCTGACATGCTACAATATAACTAGACTACAATACCAAGCTGACATGCTACAATATAACTAGACTGCTCAATACCAAGCTGACATGCTACAATATAACTGATCTGCTCAATACCAAGCTGCTGACATGACTACCAAGCTGACATATAACTGACTTGCTCAATACCAAGCTGACATGCTACAATATAACTGGACTGCTCAATACCAAGCTGACATGCTACAATATAACTGGACTGCTCAATACCAAGCTGACATGCTACGATATAACTGGACTGCTCAATACCAAACTGACATGCTATGATATAACTGGACTGCTCAATACCAAACTGACATGCTACGTTATAACTGGACTGCTCAATACCAAACTGACATGCTACAATATAACTGGACTGCTCAATACCAAGCTGACATGCTATGATATAACTGATCTGCTCAATACCAAACTGCTGACATGCTACAATATAACTGGACTGCTCAATACCAAACTCACATACTGCTTATAACTAGACTGCTCAATACCAAACTGACGTGCTACGTTATAACTGGACTACTCAATACCAAGCTGACATGCTACGATATAACTGGACTGCTCAATACCAAGCTGACATTCTACAATATAACTGGACTGCTCAATATCAAGCTGACATGCTACAATATAATTGGACTACTCAATACCAAGCTGACATGCTACGATATAACTAGACTGCTCAATACCAAACTGACATGCTACAATATAACTGGACTGCTCAATACCAGGCTGACATGCTACGATATAACTGGACTGCTCAATACCAAGCTGACATGCTACAATATAACTGATCTGCTCAATACCAAGCTGACATGCTACTGGACTGCTCAGTACCAAGCTGACATGCTACTATATATAACTAGATTGCTCAATACCAAGCTGACATGCTACAATATGACTGGACTGCTCAATACCAAGCTGACATGCTACAATATAACTGGACTGCTCAATACCAAACTGACATGCTATGATATAACTGGACTGCTCAATACCAAACTGACATGCTACAATATAACTGGACTGCTCAATACCAAACTCACATGCTACGTTATAACTGGACTGCTCAATACCAAACTGACATGCTACAATATAACTGGACTGCTCAATACCAAGCTGACATGCTATGATATAACTGATCTGCTCAATACCAAGCTGACATGCTACAATATAACTGGACTGCTCAATACCAAACTCACATGCTACGTTATAACTGGACTGCTCAATACCAAACTGACATGCTACGATATAACTGGACTGCTCAATACCAAGCTGACATTCTACAATATAACTGGACTGCTCAATATCAAGCTGACATGCTACAATATAATTGGACTACTCAATACCAAGCTGACATGCTACGATATAACTAGACTGCTCAATACCAAGCTGACATGCTACAATATAACTGGACTGCTCAGTACCAAGCTGACATGCTACAATATAACTGGACTGCTCAATACTAAGCTGACATTCTATGATATAACTGGACTGCTCAATACCAGGCTGACATGCTACGATATAACTGGACTGCTCAATACCAAGCTCACATGCTACAATATAACTAGACTGCTCAATACCAAGCTCACATGCTACAATATAACTGGACTGCTCAATACCAAGCTGACATGCTACAATATAACTGGACTGCTCAATACCAAGCTGACATGCTACAATATAACTGGACTGCTCAATACCAAGCTGACATGCTACAATATAACTAGACTGCTCAATACCAAGCTGACATGCTGCAATATAACTGGACTACTCAATACCAGGCTGACATGCTACGATATAACTGGACTGCTCAATACCAAGCTCACATGCTACAATATAACTAGACTACTCAATACCAAGCTGACATCCTACAATATAACTAGACTGCTCAATACCAAGCTGACATGCTACGATATAACTGGACTGCTCAATACCAAGCTGACATGCTACAATATAACTGGACTGCTCAATATCAAGCTGACATGCTACGATATAACTGGACTGCTCAATACCAAGCTGACATGCTACAATATAACTGGACTACTCAATACCAAGCTGACATGCTACAATATAACTAGACTACTCAATACCAAGCTGACATGCTACGATATAACTGGACTACTCAATACCAAGCTGACATGCTACAATATAACTAGACTACTCAATACCAAGCTGACATGCTACAATATAACTAGACTACTCAATACCAAGCTGACATGCTACAATATAACTGGACTACTCAATACCAAGCTGACATGCTACGATATAACTAGACTACTCAATACCAAGCTGACATGCTACGATATAACTGGACTACTCAATACCAAGCTGACATGCTACGATATAACTAGACTACTCAATACCAAGCTGACATGCTACAATATAACTGGACTGCTCAATACCAAGCTGACATTCTATGATATAACTGATCTACTCAATACCAAGCTGACATTCTATGATATAACTAGACTACTCAATACCAAGCTGACATGCTACAATATAACTAGACTGCTCAATACCAAGCTGACATGCTACGATATAACTAGACTACTCAATACCAAACTGACATGCTACAATATAACTGGACTGCTCAATACCAAGCTGACATTCTATGATATAACTGATCTACTCAATACCAAGCTGACATTCTATGATGTAACTGATCTACTCAATACCAAGCTGACATGCTACAATATAACTAGACTGCTCAATACCAAGCTGACATTCTATGATATAACTGATCTACTCAATACCAAGCTGACATGCTACAATATAACTTGACTGCTCAATACCAAGCTGACATGCTACAATATAACTGGACTGCTCAATACCAAGCTGACATTCTATGATATAACTGGACTGCTCAATACCAATGACATGCTACGCATATAACTGACTGCTCAATACCAAGCTCACATGCTACAATATAACTAGACTGCTCAATACCAAGCTGACATGCTACAATATAACTGGACTGCTCAATACCAAGCTGACATGCTACAATATAACTAGACTGCTCAATACCAAGCTGACATATAAATATAACTGATCTACTCAATACCAAGCTGACATGCTACAATATAACTAGACTACTCAATACCAAACTGACATGCTACGATATAACTTGACTACTCAATACCAAGCTGACATGCTACAATATAACTAGACTACTCAATACCAAGCTGACATGCTACAATATAACTTGACTACTCAATACCAAGCTGACATGCTACAATATAACTAGACTGCTCAATACCAAGCTGACATGCTACGATATAACTGGACTGCTCAATATCAAGCTGACATGCTACAATATAACTGGACTACTCAATACCAAGCTGACATGCTACGATATAACTGATCTACTCAATACCAAACTGACATGCTACAATATAACTAAACTACTCAATACCAAGCTGACATGCTACGAT